GTAGATGAGGCGCTTAGGGACATGGTTTAGTGGGCATGGTGGTGTTGGGTTGATGGTTGGACTCGATGATCTTGGAGGTCTCTTCCAACCTTAATGATTCTATGATTCTATGATTATCTCAAGTTGAAAGGCACCCATAAGGATCATTGAGTCCAACTCCCTGAGTTGGACTTCCTGGTTGTGCAAGACTAAGAGCTGGATACAGCTCTGGCTGGTGCTGCAAGAGTGCTAGTTACTGAGTTAGGTTAAGGCTTAACCTTGTCTCTTGTGCAGCAGTGGGAAACCAGTTTAAGACCCAAGAAAAACACCCTAGGTATTGTTTTTACATTTCTTCGTTTCTGCGGGTCATCTTGTTGTAATACAAATTGTGTTGTTTACACCCTGTGAATAACTTGTTTAAGACTATCTTTTTTATGCTTTCACAGACTATTTGCCACAGATCTAACTGGCATTGGAAATACGTTCAGTATGTTGTTGTGTTGTTATTTTGTAGGCTTAAAGAAAATTGTATAGCTTCTGCTGATTTAAAAAAAAAAAAAAAGAAGGTACAGATTCTTCTGGTCCCCTATAAAGAATGACATTTTCTAGTTGAGCTTTTTTATCTGCTTGGGAGCTTGCCTTGTTTTAGATTTTGGCTAACTTTAGATTAGAAAAGCAATGTTGCTAGAGGATGTGAAATTATGAAAAACTATAGTAATTTTTCCTTTTTTTTTTTTTCTTGCTGTGAACTTAATATTACAGTTTTGTAAGGAAGTGCAGTAAGTATGTACAAGTAAGGTAATCTCCCTTATTTTACTTCTGATGCATTTATACAATGCTACGGCTCTCATGTGCCAAAAACTGAAGGTGAATGCTTATTCATTTCTACAGTTTTGTGTGAAAGTACGTGGAATATTGGTGGCATTTTTAATATAATAATATTAATAATTTTTAGTATAATACAAATTTAATAGTATGGTCACTTTTTTCAATATGGAAGTTATCCCAGTCAAGCTTTTGTATCATCATTGTAAGGATTTCTGAAATGCTGCCTTTGGGCTGAATTTGAACGTGAAATCTTTACCCTAAAAAAGGATAACCTCATTGTCAGTCATCTGACTGTAATCCTTTTCGTGTGATAGCTGTTATTGTACCCCTTGCTGTGGCCCAAGAGCCTGGAGTCTGCATCCGCTCGCAGTGGTGTTAAGCTTCTCATATAGCTGCTTGTGACAGGGAAGACCGTATGTCCCAGCTGGTGGGTGATCCCCTGCATGGTGTGATCATGCAGAGGAGTCCTTGAGGGTCCCCGGGGGAAAAATAAATGCTGGGAAGTACTGCTACCAGGACGTGCCCACAGAGTGCTGCGGGTTGCCTCTCCTACAGCTTCTCTTGTGTCCTGGCTGGGTTCTTGTGGGACATGGGTGATTTCTGGAAGGAAGATGGTAAGGGGTGAATGGATTATTGCCAGAATAATTCATTTGACCAATAGCCTGCACTGGAAAAGAAGGTAGAATTGCTGACAAGCTCTTTGTGGCCCAAAGGTTGCAGATGAGGCAGCCTTGTCTTACAGATCATGTGTCCAGTTTTGCATAGCCTCTACAGTGGCCCGTTCAGAAAAATAGAGGGTATTTTCTGAATTGCAGTTAGCCAATACATCGCGAGTAATGTTAGTTAAAATCCTAGTTGGAGACTGGATACTTCAGAATTTCTGCGTGTGTCGGGACGTCATACTAATTCCTAATTTCACTCACCTATTATGTGTTGTGCCAGTATTTATGAGAACTTCAAAGTACTTTTTCCTTCACAAAGATTTTTGTCTCCTTCTATAGGGTGGCTAATTCCAAGTAAAATACTGTTTTTTTTCTTAATGAACACTCATTCCATTTGGATCAGGTTTTCACCAGCTTAACAAGCAATTTTGCATCTAAACAAGAAGTAAAGTTTTCAGAAATGCTTGATCAGAAAACCAGTAGTGCTGCACAGAAGCAGTACTGCTACATGTTCCTGAAAACTATTCCAGAGTTTTTAAGACTGTATTTAATATTTTGATTTTCTAAAATGCAGTCAAAACTTTTATAGCCTTTTTAGAGTTTATAGTTTATATAATTTTTACGTTGTGCAAATTTTCAAAACCCACTTGTTTTTATAATAATTGATGACAAACTTTGGGTTATGTAAACTTCATTTTGGAAGCAAACTAAGTGGATATTGACAGCAGATGGCAGTCTTCGGTAAATTATTAGTGTAAACCTGCCATTGTTTTGAAAAAGGTGAGGTATGCTCTTCAGTTATGTTAAGAATAACATTGGGTAAAACTTGAAACACTGGAAATGCAGATAAGGAAAGCCTGAAATGTTGTTTGTACTCTATTTCAGAAAATGGGGGTTTACTTTTATAGAGGAGAAATATGCATTAGTGTGCTTCTTTCTTTCTAGAGGTTTTAAATGAAATAAGTGTGAATAATAAATGCATCAGAAAGCTTATTTAATTCGACCTTAATCTTTTTTTAAGGGTAGGTGGTGTCACAGGTCAAATTCAGTTTAAAATTTTCCAGATAGAAAGATGTTTAGTTTTCCTCTTGGAAAATGTAGACTTACTCTGCAGTAAGATTGTTTAATTGCATTTTTATTCCTTTATAAACAAAACAGGTCATTGTCCTATAGGAATAACTGTCTGTTTCTGCACAGTTTCAGATAGAAAAGAAGGTTTGCTTATGTCTGTATGCACATTCATTGTTTTAAGAAGTTTTTCTTGGTAACTTACAGCTTATAGAAGATACGAGACATGAAACAGATCCCGATACAGATGAAGTACTCAAACATTCTTCAAATGTATCATGAGTATTTAAAATAAACTCTTTCTCTGACTTGTTTGCCCATGGACAGGTCACGTAATGTCTGTAACTTCCTCATAATATTTGTCCTTTTCTGGTGAATAATTATAGCTGTATGGATGAAACAAATACTCAAAAACCTGAGCTGAGAGGTGAGAACACTCGATCATAATATCTGCTAGTGCAACTGTAGGGTGTCTGAAGAGTGCCAAAGTGGTATTACCTCCTCTTCCAAGTCCCTGAGATGCTCTCAACGTTTCAGCTGTCATGGAGTCTGCATGGCACAACCAGGCTGGGACTTTCCTGGGTGAGCCACGAAGAGCTTGCTGCTAACTTGCCCCAGGAGCGCACTTATAAACTCTGTAAATTCAGTATGGTATGCACATTAGAAGGAACTGTTTACAGCCTTACTGATGCTTGAAAATTGATCCCAATGTAAAGTATTTTGCCAATTTCTATGATGTATCTGTTGGTAAAGAAAGATGCAGGCAGTGGCTCTGAGGGGTGCCATTCTTTGCAGGTGAAGTGACTCTTAAACATATCAGTGAGCTTTTAAAATATCAGTGCTCTCACCATTTCCAGTCTGAAGAAGTGTATCACTGTCCCCATTGTCCATGGGAAGGTTTGAAGCTGGTAGAGGACAAGAAAGATGTCACTTTTGGCTAATAAGTTACTAGTAAGAAGAAAGAGGAGGAAAGAAAGCTCTAATTACGTTTTCACAGGAGTTCTGGAAAAACAATTTCCATGTAATTTCCAGGCCTCCAAGAGAGTAAAGTGTGATAAGCTGTAGTTAAGTATGGGTTTGGATTCTTCTTTATTTCTTATAAATATTAATGGAGTTGGAAATGTGTCTTCTTCCTAATGCTTCAAATGAAAGCACCTCACCGTTCAGGGTACTTTCCCACTTGAAAAGGTAAGTCTTTCAAAAGTTGCCAGTGTGTCTTTTGCAAATACATGGATTTCAGGAGAATGCTAATGGCATAAAAAATTTCTTCATCAGTTTTTTCCACTTTTCCTCTTCTTTTGAATTTTTTAATATTATGACTCTTTTTTTAGCCTCCAATTCATCTACCGCTGCCTAAAAAAAAAAAAAAAGGTAATTAAAAAAAAAAAAAAGGAGAATTAGAGTTCCTTTGTATTCCATTAGCTGGCTGCTGATAAAATACTGAGTGCAACTTTCCCTCTCTATGGAACTTGGCAACAGCAGCTGCCAGGGTGACACAGGTATTCCTTGAAAATTGATTATCTCACCCACCACTTTTTCCAGCATGTAGCTCTTACATAACTTCTGAGGTGAGGTATGGTGTTCAGTTACTTGTGTGTGCTACATGGAATAGCCAACAATGATGTACAAGACTTAAGGAAAGATGAAATGCAGCACTGAGAGTGTTAGGAAGATGTTTCTTGCTTTTTGTAATTTTTATATATTTGAATTTATGGATTTATAATCAGTATCAATGAAAACAATACCATCTAGGGAAATTGCTACTTGTAAGTAGATTATTTGTTGGGTAACCATCCTTTCAGTGCATTTGGTTGGTATTAATTTTTCTAGTACTGACATTCTTATATCTTGACTTTTTATCTTATGTTACTGTCCTAACTATGAAATTAATCTAGTCCCTTCGTTGAGGAATTTGGACCACTCTACATTTTTATTTGTGCATGTCTTTGGATTTATATTCCTTTAAAACTAAGTTCTTGTAGTACTAATTACTATTTTCCATGCTGATCCGTTTGTTTCCTAGTTTGACTTCTCTTAAGTAAACAGCATTTCACAAATAGAACGTTATGAACAGTTGATCTGTTAAAGATGGAGGTAAATTGATAAAAGTGAATTGATTAGTAAAAATAGACAATCTGAATGTAATTTTAAGCAAAGATTGGGACTGGTACTGTTTAATATCTTCATCAATGACATAGGCAGTGGGATCGAGTGCACCCTTAGCAAGTTTGCAGATGACACCAAGTTGAGTGGTGCGGTTGACACATCAGAGGGACAGGATGCCATCCAGAGGGACCTGGACAAGCTGGAGAAGTGGGCCCGTGTGAACCTCATGAGGTTTAACAAGGCCAAGTGCAAGGTCCTGCACCTGGGTCAGGGCAACCCCCAGTATCAGTACAGGCTGGGGGATGAAGGGATTGAGAGCAGCCCTGCCGAGAAGGACTTGGGGGTGCTGGTGGATGAAAAGCTGGACAC